AATGCTGTAATTTTTGACTAAAGGTATTTATTTTCTTTTCTCTCCTCCCCTGCCACTCCCCGCCTCTTTCTTTCCCTCTCCTCATATGATGGTACTGTACTGTGAGTTTGTCATAACCACAGTTTTCTTACTAAAGTGACTTAAACCATGATAGTTGCTACCTTCTGTGGACAAAAAGGAGTGGTACTTAAAACACAAACACACAAACCAACCCCTTTATATTAATGTGTCAGGTGCTTATGACGATCTGCAGTCCTGCACTGATAAGATGAGTTAGCATTTCTGCTTAGCTGTCTACATACTTAATTTTCTTCAAAAAATGTACATGAAAGAATTTTGAAAGACGTATTGTGTGGTGGAAAGTTTGAAAGGATAGTTATGATTTGAGTTTGTGAGGGAGAAGTAAAATTAGATGTAGGCTAAAATTCCAATTCATAGTAATTGCGTAATGACTGGTAATTCTAAAACTGGCCAATTTTATTTGACTTTTCCAGACAACTGCTCTTTGGCTTTCAGAGCAAACTTAGCAGTCTTCACATAAAATCAATTTTGTTAGACAAAGTCAAAGGTTCTAGCTAAAATTAGAGCTTAGTTTGCAGCCCTGACTATGAGCAGGCTTCTGTCTGTCTGTCCATAATTACTCTAAGAGGATTGTGCCAACTTTAATAACAGTTTATTTTGTTGAAGTACATGACTTTTATAATTTTTTTTTTTATAGCATGTTGGAGTTCTGTTTGAAATTTTTATTAGGTTTCTTTTAGCTTGTGGAATGGAGACTTGGCCATGTCTTGAGTTAAAATGTTGTAGCTCTGTGTAGTATCAGTTTAGGGCTAGCTGTATCTATGGTCTTGACTGGTGTGGCATATAGAAAGCAGCCTTACTCTTGAGTGTTGCTAGTGTTCATTGACGTTGTGCTTAGTCATGCACGATTTTCAAAGCTTTGGCAACCTGTCTTCTTCAATGGTGGTTCAAGATAAAATACACTAGACACTGATAAACTAGAGAAGGCAGTATGCTAATATGTTACAATACCTTATTTCCTTTCCTTGTATCATTCCAAGTACACCCTTCAAAAGGGAAATAATGAGTTGTTGACTTATTGGGTAATCTTGCCATGTTGTATCAGAAAGCTTGCCCACAAAGTTTACAGAGGTTGCGGTTGTCACGGGGCTGGCTAGTGGCAGAAACTTCCTAGCTGTCATTGAAGGCATGTAGTAATTGACATTTTACTAATATATGGAAACATATCTATATAAAAATGAAGATTCTTTCCTGCCATAAAAATGTTGAGAAGAATAATGTTGATAATAACTTTGCCCTTTAATTCTGCCTCATTTGTGTTTGTGTTTTGTTTTTTTTTTTTAAAAATAGACTGACCAACCATCTGAAGATAAGGGTTTAAACATCCTTTCCCTGTGCTTTGTAAGAACTTTGACTATCTATAACAGTTAGTTATGACTGATGACATTGGGGAATAGTTTTGTGGAGTTTACAGTCAGTCAATTGGGCATAATAAATGGAAAAAAATGGGAGGAGAAATAAAAGAGAAGATGCAAAAGGAGGTCTAACCAAGAATTGCATAACCTGCAGGGGAAAATGAGGTTCCCTTTCCAAAAAGCAAAGTATCAAGTAGAATCGTTAGAACTGAATAAATGAAGTGACCTACTGGCGGGGCAAATAGCAAAACAAAAGCATTCATTTGAAATGGGAAGGTATGCAGGATATGTAAGTAGTGAAGAGGAGAATGGGGTAGAAAGTCTCCTGAAGCTTTATCTGCAGACTCTGAAGCATTTGACTGAAGAACATCTGCCTTTGTCATACCTGACACCATGTTAGTGGCTTAGTTCCTTTGGTTTTAAGGAAAAGTATGAATAGAATTATGTGGTAAAAATCATCAATGTAAGAATTGTAGAATTGAGTGGAGAGAAATGATTTTTGAGATGTCTATAGTTACGCAGGATATGGAGAGCTTTTTGCACTGATGATCACAAGGTGCACCACTTTCCCTTCTTAGAGGTGTCTTTGGAGGAAAAATGAAACTTTGTGTGCAAAGCCCAGGGTAGTATTTTGCTTAAATGTGAATACCAGAAGTATGACTTTGATTCAGGGTGTTAAATAACTTTTAACATAAGAATCCAGAAGGAAAAGAACAACCAATGACATGGCAAAACCTGAACAGAAAGGTAAACTAGCATATTCCGCCATTGGTTTTGAAGCAGGGTGATATGCACTGTTCCTCCTCAAACTTTTTCCTACTGTGTCTTCAGACCTCCTTTGGGAAGCCTACCAGAGAAATAGTTGCAGTAGTGTGGCCTAAATGAAACAATAGTGTGTTTAGTTGGTTTTTTTGGTTTGTGGTTGGTTGGTTTTTTTTTGCTTCCCCCCTAAGTTAAGAACTTACATAAAAGGGAAGATAATAAAATTGACAAAGAATGAAGTGGTCACTGGAAGAACGGTATTTTTTTTTTTTTTCCCCAATTGTTAGTTTGAAAAGTTAATGCATAAGGTTTTATTTCAAGTAGTAGGTTAGTGGAAGTTACAGTTCAAATTAACATTTGTGTGGGGATTGGTGCTTGTAAGGCAGATTGGTTGGCACAGTTGGAAATGGGAAGATGATTTTGGTCTTGTCCTTGTTAGCTGTCAATGCAGTGTTGATAGTATGGGCGAAGAGGAGCACCATGGTACCACCAGCACACTTGCCAACGCTGCTTCAGGCACGTCCTTGCCTGGCCTTTATTTGCTGTTTGCACGTTCTGTTGTTTGACACAAGTCATCCATCACTACACACGTGCCTGCTTTTAACGGTGACTTCCTGCGGTCGTGCACTTTTGATGCTGCACCTGTGTTCAACCAGCTCAACACAGACTCTCGTTTGAAAAGGATCCCAAAGATAACACTGCTGTCCTCTTACTGTGCTACTGGCTGCATCAGCTCAGCCACTACTTAAACTGGCATTTGCTTTGTGAAGTGCTTGGCTTGTTGTACCATTTTTTCCGATGAAGCAAGCGGATTATCTCCCAGTGCACTCCAAAAGCATGTATGGAAGAGTAAAGTTTACTGAAGGTCTGGGAACCATGGAGATGTGCTTCGGAGTTCTCAGTGGGACATGTGAATGAGTAGAAAACCACGTTGGAAACAAAGTACTAGGAAAACGTATTCACTACGTGCAGTTGTTTCCCTGCAGTTGGGAGCACCTTCCCTTCTTGCAATCTTTTTCAAGTGTGGATCACTCATGTTAAATATATAGCAGGGAACATCTTGTGTTAAGTAGAGATATGAACCTGAACAGAAGAAGAGGTCAAGCGTGGAAATAAATTCCAGTCAGTACTGGATGATTGAGAAGTCCCTTTTCTCTCACTCCCTCTTGTTTGGAGAGGCGGTGCTTGAGTTCACTTCAGAAATATACAGCTATTTTTTTTTAAAGAAAAAAAAAAAAGAAAAAAAACCCAACTTACTCTTTAAATTCACGTTATGATCTGGACGTGGGTGGCTTGACCCTGTAGTCACCTGCATCATCACGTTATCTTTTCCTGATCAGAATATGGAATATTAAATGTTGTGATGTCCACATTACACTCAAATTTTTGTATAAATGTTATTGTTGTTTAGGACAGTAGTATTTGAGTGGTAAACAAGCTGTTTGAAATGGTTTAATCTAGCCTCATAGTTTGTCAGTACACTTAGTTGTGGGCCACTTTTGGAAAAGAAGATTGATTCCTCTGCAGACCAAAGCCTCTTTCCAGTTCTCCGGTCCTTCAGTGTATGTTGTGGTCACAGCAGCAAGTGTGTTCTGGGTATCACTGAGTGGTTCCAAGATGCAACCCGGCTATAAAGTGCGCCTTTCAAAAACCATAGCTCCACAGTAAGCTTTGTTTAGCTGTATTGTGTACATTTGTGGAAGGGATTAGTAATAGATTTTTGTTTTTTTTTCTTGGAAGTCATTGGAAAGAGAAAGAGTAAATCTATTTTGATTTCACTTGGGATAGATTAGTGGGTGTCAAATGTTACACAATACTTGACATATCCACTGCTGTTAAGTTGGCCGTGGCAAAGGGATTACCTGATAATGAATCACCAAGCTCTTTAGCCATTTAAAGGGAATCGTGCTGCTTCCTTGCCCTGGTGGTACCCTCTTTCCTGCCCAGGATCTTCTTGTGACAGTTTGTGTTCGGATGTGGGAAAACTCCACGCAGATGTGCAAGCACTGGTTTGACAGCTTTGTGTTCAGCTCCTACCTTGCTAATTGTTTTCGTGGGATTATTTGGATTGTGTAGAAAGCTTTTTCCAAATCCCCTTTATTACTGAAGTTATGGAATAAGATTAAAGGTGCTTAAGTCTGTAGAGTTGTTTCTAATTTGTACGTGTCATTTCAGTGGCATTTGAACAGAACTCTGTCTCTTCCCCTCCCTGCTCCCCTGTGGTACTGTGCTTGAGTTAGGGCTGAGAAGCCAAGCTATTGGAAGAAAATTCATTTTGTTCCCTAATTATTATGCTGGCACTTGGGAGATAATTTTTCCCTTCATGCACTGCCAATTAATATGCAAATGAGCTGATAAATATTTATACCATGATTTAAATTATGCAGGGAGCGCTTTCAGTGTACTCTGCAAATGAATTGTTCATGGACTTCAAAGTGCTGGCTGCTGTGCTAACGAGAGGAGATTTGCATAAGGCCCTAATCAGGCGCATACTGATTAAGCTTCATTATGGAAACTGCCAGCTGCAATCTTTGTTTCTATTTTATTACAAAAAGGGGAACTTTTCACGCTTCAGTCGCCTTGACAATGTCAGACTCAGCTAGTAGGAGAGACTAAAACTCCACAGAGCAACTGAAGTTTCCCTGTTCAGTTGAAGATTGCTATGGTGTAACTGAAGTTGTATTTCTTCCCCCACCTCCCCACTCCCTTTCGTGTTCGGTCGGGAGCAGTAGTGTAGATTTGATAGAAATTGCCATTCTCCCTTTCCTTGGACTATCTGAACCTGTAGAGGATACCACAGCAATGCTGGACTGCAGCGACTACGTTCTAGGTGGGTACCAGCTCAGCTCTTTCTTATGAGCGTTTAATATGGAAATAGAGGCTGTGAGGTTGACTATGCATAGAGGCTTAATCACGTATGCAGAGGCTAGAGAAGGTATTTGTAAGGCTGAAGCTCACCAGTGAGTAGGCAGCAAGTAGCTGCCTGGTAGATAGATGGATAGATCTGTACCAGGGAAATACATGGTTTGTGGGTTTTTTGGTTTGATTTTTTTCTTCCTTTCCCTTGCTCCAGGAGAATTTGTTCCCTCCGCCCTGGAGACATTTGCTGCTAGGCTTGGATGACATTAATACATACCTTTTGCTTTTAGGATTTCAATCTGAGAAGCATTTGGCTTCTAACAAACACTGGACTTGACTTGCATATCTGTGTGTTTTGATTTTTGAAGCATTAAAATGAAGGAGAGAGTCCCAATCTCAAAGAATTTAGTAGCTATATTGAGCCATTCCCCAGCAGAATGTGTATTATGTCTGTGTATTTTTAGTGTAATACAAAGGTTCTTCATGCCTAATAGAAAATAAGGTGGAGTGCACAGTGGTTGCCATTGATACCGTTGCAAGCTGTACCTAAGGTTACTGGGATAATATATTTCCTGCGCTGAGATTCCATCAGGACTGCAGAACAGACATGCCATAATTTCTTCTTCATGTCTTTTAACGTTATTTGTAATAACGAATTATCCCAATTTTACAATAGGCTTGCTTTATTTTCAAGGCTCTTTCCCCAAAGGTCAATGTATAGTTTTGGGTTTTTTTAATTATTCTTTTGATTCCATTATATAAGTTCTGGTAAGAACTTACATGTCAAAGTAAGAGAATATGTTTTTGGATGGTAAATTTTAATGCAGACATCTGAATATTTATTTCTGAATATGAAGTGTTTTCTTGAAAATTAATTTCTAAAGAATTCTTGGCATGTTTTCACTGACTTTGAACTTCGTTTTTTCCATATGCGTCAATGAATCATTTTTGCTGGTGCTGATGGAGTATTAGGCAGTTTCGCTTTAATGGGTGAAAGGAAATAGTTAATAATACATTAACTGTGTGTTAAGGTTTTCTATGTTTTACTAGCTGTGTACAGTCCCTAATACTCCAAGTTGGTCCAATGTCTGCTGCTTCTTTCTTCCGAATACCTTTTGAAATGTTACTGAGGGTGTGTGAAAGCCTGGCACAGCACTGCCTTGCGACACCCTCAGCCCTGCTAGCAGAGTAGTACTGAATGTATTCACTCCTGAGAGTTTGATTTCAATCATGCACCTGCTGCTTTCGATCCTTCCTTCTGTGGAGTTTGTTTTTAGATAACGTTGGTAGAAGTTGTAGCCCAAGGCCTTTATTTAAAACCCAAGTAAGATCTAAAGGAAAAAGAAGAGGTGAGGGCATTATGATTTGGTTTTTTTTTAGCCCACTTCATTTGTTTGTTCTTTTAACTTTAAAGCAGAAATCATATAAGCATGTATAGACCAAGTAATCTTTTTATTTGACATATAATGAATCCATAGGTTTAGTATCCTGCGGATATGTGTCTGTTTTGCTGGTAGCAGTTTTGTGATTCAGATGTATGTCATACCATTTGCAATGGAAATAGCGGCATTGTTCTTGATGCTTTACATGCAGAAGGCCCACAGATTGAACAAGAAACAGTCAGCTGGTGCAATAATGGATGCTATCCTTCGTTTGAACCTGAGCAGTACCAGAAAGATGTTTCTTCACCCCATGTGCTGCTTTTTTGCAACAGCAATGTTTGAGGTCTTTGCTAGGGATGAATCTTTACAATAAAGTATTCTTCATTTAGACATGTTTTTGGTAGTTGAGTAAACTTTATGTCTAGTACTAGGAAATGCTGAAAACCTTTTTTTAAAAGGATATATTTTGCAGCATAGCCTGACAGAAAAACATGTCTTGGTTGCTTTATGAAAAGACATCTGTACAGTTATAACTTTGTTCTGAGCAAGCTTGCAGGTCATGCAGGAAGGTTTGTTGTATGAGCCTTCTCATGCAGAGGGAACCGTCACTACCTTGCTTGGAGTTCTGTGCACTGGACAGCTCTGCCCCCCACCCAGGTTTAGCTTGTTTATTTTACCATTAGTATCCTGCACAGTGGCTCTAATACCTTGGTTTCCCCAAGAAGCAGGCACAGGAGGCCCTATGTTATTTTTCTTGCAAGAGCTTTCTGAAGTGGTTCAGTGGATGGATCCCAAGTTACTGAGAGACGATCTTCTCAACCTGTGCTCTTCCCTTCTGTAGTCAGTGCTGTCGGGGTTCAAGCTATCCTTGTGCTCTGGGCTTAAAAAGTATGTCCTCTGTCCAGTAGCCCCATGGGTTAGCCTAATTTCTACAACCGAGTGTATTGAACTTCTAAGCCGTCTTTGGTCATTTTCCTGTTGGGTGAGGATTCTTCTTGTTTGTGTCCAAAGCATAGTCTCCCATTCAGTGTTCTCTGAACCTAAACTAATTTCAGTAGCCAGCTGCATGTCAAGGAAAGAACTAATGCTGTTTATCAAATGGATGTTGCCTCTAATCACTTTAAATAAATGTGCTGTTGCCACAACAATAAACTTAATTTAAGGTACACACAACTTCTAGATAGAAACATACTTTGTATTTGTTTTATACAAGGATCTATGAGCAGGGAGGGGCACGTCAACAAACACTTCTGTGCAGTCAGTGGAACCCATGTTCGGTTTCTAGAGTGTGGATTGTACTAGTCAGATGTGGAAAAATGAGAAAATAAGGAGCCAGGAAGCATTAGGTTCTGTATCTGCAACCTTAGCAGAGCTCTGTCTTTCAAGAGGTGAACTTGTAGCTTGAATCAGCTAAGCAAAGGTGGTGAAAAATGGGGCAAAACTTGCAGCCTTTTGCTGAAGGGTGGGCCAGCAGCACTCAACTGGAAAGTTTCTCCTCCCTCACTCCCCCTTTCAAAAAGCAGTTCAACACATGTCTGCCTTTATACTAAGAGTAACATTGGTAGTTCACATCTCTCTTACACATGGCTGACATTTGAAAGATTTAAGCATAGGCATAGGAACTTTCTGAGAAGAGTTGAGGCTCTGGAGAGGTTGAATTAACTTGTTGGGGGAAGATTCCTGTTTGTTAGAGTCCTCTGGGGTTTCTAGGCCCTACTGGGTTCAACTGCAGCAGTTGTTACGTGGAAAATTACATTTGTTTTAAAAATATTGACACATCTTAAATTGTGTTTCCTAACTGCTTATTGGAATTTTTCCAAGGTTGATGTCTCTTATTTTTTCTCTCACACATGCTGCATCTCTAACTAGTTCCCTCCTCTTCCCATCTCGCGCTCCCAGGCAGGCTTCATCGTGATTCCCGTTTTCATTCAGGCCCTGTCCATGTGCTTCTATCCTCCTGGCTTGTGGTTGTGTTCCTCTGCTGCTGTCACCCCTGACTGTAAGAGCCTGAGGGTGGCACTGGTCTCCCTGGGCGATAGCAGGTGATAGTACTTGGCAATACTTCTCTTTTCCAACTCTCATAGGCTGCCAAGCAGTGAAGCATCTGGGCATTCTTGGAAATAGCTGAGGGAAAGATGAAGCGCTTAATGCTGTTACTGTATTCTTCTGGCCGTTGGTATTTTGGAAATCACTGCTTTGGTGATAGCACATGACAGAGGTAACCTTTTAAGCACCTAGCAAGAGAATATCCTGGAGTAAAGTGTTCATTTTGAGCTCCTTGAACTTGCATTTAACTGATTATGGGAATGTAAGAATGTGCTTAAGGATTTGCTTACGCTTCATTTTATGAACTGGTCTGTCTTGAGATTATTTTTTGTGATTTTGGTTTGTGATAGTGTGGCACACTGAGGTTGGTACAAAGGAATGAGGAGGTAATAAGCTGGAGTATACAGAAAAACTGTATAGATTCCTGTGTAAGGAAACTACATTCTCTGTCTGCCATCTGGAGAGGCTCTCTGCATTGCACTATATTCAGCTGACAAGCTTGGAAACCAAGAGCGGACTTTTCAATAGATTCATCCAGAGGGAGAAAGAAGAGGAATTATTTTGTATTTCTATGGTTTTACATGAATATATAGTAAATATAAAATAATTTACTATTAGTGATATATGATATTCCTGTTAAGAAAAGAAAAAAGCAGTGTTAGAAAAATATCTTGTAGTCATTGTTCCTCCCCCCTCCTTTTTTTTTTCTTCTATGACTTTCATTGTACTGAAAATTAAGTTCCTACCTATCTTTGCCCTCCAGCATGCTGTCTTTTATTCCCTTAACACTATGTTTTTGCATATAGGAATAATGACATACAAAATTTTGAAACAATATTTGTCTGGAAAACTCAGTATTGTGTTATGCTTCTGATCATTCTTTTTGTGTATAATCTGAATTAGGGTAAAGTACATATCAAATTTATGATGTTCTGTACTTCCTTTGGACAAGAACGTATGAACAGATTTGTGTTGTGGTTTTTTTTCTGTGTTAGTTTATCTTTATTTCTGTTTTATGCAGACTCAAGAATGAACAATCCGTCAGAAACCAGTAAACCATCGATGGAGAGTGGGGATGGGAACACAGGTAAGAAATGATGAGCTGGTGCAGAGATATTTTCTAGTGGAATTGAATGGATGTTTAAAGCAATATTTCTTTACCAGTTTACAGGAATTAAAACAAAACAAAAGAGCCCCTCCCCCACCTGCTGGTTTTAGAGACTTGGGAACACTTTTGTCTTATCGTTAACTCTACTGTATGCAGGGCATTATTCACACCTACTGTATCAGAGCACTACCCACACTTTGTATACAAGATTCCCCTTCCCCACTTCCTCTATCTGTAATGTTTCTGCTATTACGGAAGATCTGGTGGCACTAGCTCTCCATAAGTAGTCTCATTTTTTCCTGGCAGAACATACCTTCGGCACCTCTAACTTTGACATTTATTTTTGGGTTGAAATTTTCCCTGCAGATGTGAGCCAGTGGCTGATCTTGTTTCCATTTTAGACTTCATTAAAGCTCTCACAACAATTCTTAAAAACAAGGCAAAGGGAGAAAGCATCGTTTTTCAACATTAAAAAAAATGTTAGCTGGCTATTCTGTAATTTCTTCATGTATTAGAACAGAACCTTGAAATTTGACTGAGGAAGAATACCCTTTGCATCAGGGCCGATATGTCCTTTGGCACATCCTTAAGATGTGGCTGAGTTCAAAGCCATTGAAGAAGCTTGTTAAGCCACTATAACTAAATCATGCTGTCTTGTGCTTTAATTCCTTTCTGGAGGTAATTTAATGTTTGTTTTGGAAGCAAGAGAAATGATAGTTCTGAATGGAAAGTAAACAGTTTAACCTAATTCAGAATCTTCTCTGAGCTCAGAATAGCATTTGGGAAGAGAAAATTTTAATGAGAAGGAACTTGTTCTTGTTGCTTTGAGAGAAGTCTAGTTACCTTGTATGAGGAAAATTATTTTTCCTCCTCTTGGTTCAATAATAAGAGTTTTATTTTTAACTCTGGAGTTGTGATGAAATTGACAATTTATTTCATTTTATGCTGCTGTCTCCTCATCCTTTGTGCAAGGCTTTAAGACAGCTCAGAGTGACTGAATGTTCCCGGTACTGATCCGAGAGGCTGGATGTTTTCTGCCAATGCATGGGGTCAGTCGAAAGGAATTCTGCTAACTTATTAATGTGTGTCTTGTTACTGGCATCTCAATTTTTAGAATTTCTATTGTCTTTGTAATAGGAGAGGTATCAATTCTTTTTATATACAAAAATGATTTATTCTCTATTTAGTACTGGCATAAGATGATACAAAACATAATTTCAAAGAACGTATGGGCTGTAAATATTTCATAATCATAAACAGCATCTAGAGAACAATGGGTTTAAATATCTCTGTAGAATCCTTGTAGCTGGAGGGTGTGTGTAAACTTCTGAGAAAATTCAGACTTCCTGCTCTGTAAGACCGCAGTTCCCTGCATATGCTTTCTCCAAAGAGGGCATTCCCAATGCACTTCCTTAAGTGCAGCTTTACTTAGCAGTTTCATCTAAACTGAGCTTTTAAAGTGGACTTGGTTTATTCAAAGGTAGACTGTGATCACAGAAGTATTGTATTTGCTTCAGCAGAACCCTGGCTTTGCTCTCCTAGCCAAGTACTTCATCAGTATGAAGGTGGTGGTCATGATGTAAAGAAATCGATGGATTGTAAAACTGCATGTAGGTGCTTTCATCACAAAAGGGGATACAATGTCTGTATTTTTTTTTTATACTCTAATACTAAGGTTAGTTATTACAAAGCTTGACTCTTAGTGGTGTTTGGACCTTTTGCAAACATTGCTTCTGTAATTTAACGTCCCAGTCATTCTTTTCAGTTTTGTTTCCTGACTTTTTAAATGATGCAAACTAAAATAATCTAGAACTTCTGAGGACCACTTGCTCTGCAGCCATTGTTTTGTTTTTAAATACAGTGCTCATAAGCCACTGGAGGTAGTGATTAGTGGCATTTGTGACGTTCTTTGGGGGCTCAAGCATCAGTTGCATTAGTCAACTGACACATGTTAAACGCTGAAAGGAATACTCACTGAATGTAATTTTAGGCTTCTGATCAGGGTACTTAGATTATGGTTCTGAGGTCTGTGCATACTTAGTGAACAGAAGTCAGGTTTCGGCTCGAATGGTAAGGGACTGGAAGTGCTGTTGGTTGTCTGGGGAGCGTAGGCTCTGAAGCCAAACGTGTGAAGGTGATTTTTATAAACACTCAGAGTTCTTATTTTTGTAACTTTCTGTAACTGCTATTTTCCAGTGACGTTTGTAAATCACTTGAGTCTGCTGTGTAAGCACTGCTAATCTATCTTTTAAACCTTAGTGGATGTTTGTTTGGGTCATTCCTGTTTTAAACTGTAGTAAGCTCGTGCAACTTGAAAATTTTAAGAGAAATTACTATAGGGCGTGGAATTTACATTTGGCAGAGCTAGCGTTCTCAGGTTAAAAAAAATATGGTTGCCACTGGTAAAGATGATTTAACATCAGTAGTTCTCTGAACTGACAGCTAAGTTTCATGGAAGTTAACAAATTAGGGTTTTGTATTTCTAACTCTGACTATTTAGGGAACATAGTAAAGTCCCCTGAATACACTGATCACAATAAAATGCTTGAAACAGATTTTAACTTCAAAATTTTTGTGCTAACTGGACATTCCTTTTAAACATCTGAAAAAGCAACCCATATTTCAGACAAATTAAAAACAACAATGAAAAAAAAGTCCTTATCAGTACAAGAGTTGTTGGATGGCTGTTTTCACAAGAACATGAATTGATCAACTGGCTGTCAGTATTGTGGTATTACACAAATCCTTTCCAACCTTCAGTTATGGGTCAGCAGTCTAATTAGTATCTACTGGAAAAACGAGAGAGAAGTAAGAAGAGTGTCTTACAGTAAATGGGTAGCCCTTTTGGTTTCCTTTTTATAGGTTGCAGCATCAAGTTTTCCAAAATAACTCAACCTTTTTTTGTTGTTTGTTTAATGCATATTCTTTTTTAAAAGCTGTGTGAATGCAGTGCTATGAAAACCAAGGTTATAATGTCTATGGAAACTGTAGTATTATGATGTGCGTTGACATAGCAGCAAAATAATAATTTTTGTAAGCGTAGTATTTGGAAGGATTCTAAGGATTCTTGTTTGCATTGCTTCATTTCCAGAGATTGACTTTTCAGTTTCCATAAGAAGAGAGTCTATAGGAGAGTGGGAGAGGGACCACGGAATATTCTTTAACTGCTGAAATTCTAGGCAAATGTCAGTGCTAAACTTCGTATTAGTAACGTGGACAAGGAATCAACAATTTCTGAGTGTTGAGGATATCTGTCTTTCTCAACGCATGCCAGTGGAGAGAGAGAGATGGGGAAATGTACTGCTGGCGCTGGAATATGTCTCCCAGAGCACAGTGCAGATACCCACTCAAGCTAGTTTTGAAATCTTCCTTCTCCTTGTTTGCCTTCCCTTCCTGATTCCTTTCTTGCACCTTACTCCACATTTCCCCAGACCTGTAGTTCCTCACTCCTCTTCCTTTCTTACGCAGTTTTCTAAACTGAGACTAAAGTCTGATGATTATGATCTTGGATTCTGGGAGTATGTTCTGACTGCAGGTGCAATATTACTTTGCCTGCTCCATTTTGTCGTGCCTTTACCCTCTGCAGGTACTATTCCAAGACAGCATAAACTAACCCATGTTCAGGGTGTCCTGGTACTTAGTGTTCTCTTCCTTTCCCTGGAGTGGCACTGAGTGAGATGGCTCAGAGATTTTATTTGACTGAAAATTAATTGCACTTAGTATTAATCTTCATCCAAACCAACTCTGTGAAGTAGCTAAACACATGGCTGAATTTATGCCAGAATTTAAACGTGCTTAAGTTGCATTGGACTTGGGCTATAAGGGTGAAATTTCATCCTACAGCTTGATTCAGTCTTAACGACTTGCTGGGGTTGATGGTGGGGAGGCTCATTTCCCAACTACTACGTTTCTGACGTCCCCTGCTTTGCATTATCTACTGCTTGCTGGGTCCTAAGGTAAGTTAATTCATCTGACATAGCTGGCAGAAAGCTAACTTGGCCAAAAGTAAGAGAGAACAGTTCACATGAATAATTTTCTACTCATTAGAAAGGCAAATTGTTTTACTGCTGTGTCTGTGAGCTACCAAAAGGGGTAGGACAGGACCAGTGTAGTTGGAACAAGAAGGAAGGGGAGACGAGAGATGGAGAGTTCCCACTCCTGTTTTTTTGGTGTTGATGAGCTGTTAGATCAGCTGTAGCAGTTATGGGAGCTGAGATGGAAAGATGGAAAAGACATAAATACTTGGGATTGTTAAAATCACAGTACTTGCGATTGCATCTACCATGTCTGTTAATCACCATGGGTTTTTGCATTTAACTCTTATCCTGAGCAGAAGTGGCCTTCTGGTCCTTTCATGTCCTTAGAATGTGCTGACCTGCCTCTGACAGCTCCATTTTCCAGTCTCCTTATCAGTTTTCTTGGATTCCACAGGAGTGGTGTCACATCCTTATGAACACCTTAAGAGCAAGGCCACTCATATGCTGGAGTCAAAGTTCATTTTCCCTGCGGTTCTTCAAAAGACGTAGGCATCCTGTGATAAATGCAAGCAACCTGGCTAGCATTCCTTCCAAAATTAAGGCTGCATCTGAAGGGGAAGGGAGACTGTACTTCCAAATACCGAAGAAAGCTTAAGATGCAAGTAGAACAGAGAGTGTACAGGTGTGATTTTGGTTTGTTTGCTCCAAGTTTGATTTTTGGGGAATGTGGGGATAGGGAGTTGAACCTCCTTCAAGGTTGAATTTAAAGAAAAACTTGTTTCTCTCAGTACCTGTCTAAACTGTTTTTTGGGACCCATGGAGCTTTTAAGCTTGGTCTTGGAACTTGCTTTGTTCAAAACTATCAACCCTAGGAGGCTCGTTTCAGATTTCCACGTTAAGAGTCAGCAGAAGCGTTAACTGGAGCCTTTCTTCTGCACACATGCACCGCAGTGCTCTTTTAATATGGTATTGTTCTTTGCGGCTCGTTTTGGAAGACAGTTAACTAGAACAGCTTCGCCTGTTTATTTAAGGTGAGGCTTCCAGCTAGTCCCCTCAGAAATGGATAATTTTTTTTCACTCCTGCAAGTTTCCAATTGGAATGAGGAATATCTGCCTTACAGTAGGTTTTCTTATCTGTTTGTTTTTTTTTTTCCTACTTGGGGGTCCCTGACCACAGGTTGAAAACAGATTTGGTTTTGATTTTTGAATCAGCTTAAATGAGGAGGTGGTAGATTGTTTCCTTTGAATTACAGTAGCTGTTTGCCAGGAATTATTTTTATACATTTACCCAATCATCTTCCCACTCCCTTTGGCCTTCTGCATTGAGAGAATTATGCTGTTTACTGGAAAGAATGAAAATAGATGAGATTCTTCGAACCTTTTCTGGCAGACCTTCTTATCTATGTTTCTGTGGAGAAATGCAACCAAGTTGCATTCATTCAAGATCAATTCAGAGCAGTGATAGTCCTTCCATTCACTTTGGATTGGAATTTTAGACCCACTAGGCAAAATAATTTTACGTAGTTTAAAATTTGAATATTTTTAACATGTCTATGGATCTTGGGCTGCACATATGTCTCTTAAGTCTGTAAACCCTGGCCTAAAGCGTAGAATTAAAAACTTTAGAATAGATCAACTCTTCCCCCACAGCACCTCCACCCAAGATGCATCAAAGGACCACCTTAGGTATACCCTACATGGGTGCTAGAAAGCTTAACTATCTACATTATATCTGTATTTAGTTGAACAGGGACCCCATCTTTGGAAATTTTATCTGGATAAGCTGTTTGTAGGTCAAAATAGCAGTGTAAAATATTGGATAGTGTATTTTACTAATCAAATTTTACTCCTGTTTGCTTTTGCAGATGTTTCTAAAGAAGTAGCAACCCCCTGTTCTTCTTTAACAACTGTGACTCTCTTTTGCTTAGTAGATGACCTGGATTTTTATGGTGAAAAATGTAGATGATGGAAAGAATTTTGAAGTAGGAGTCAGTTGAACACCTGTCCATTGGCACTTAACAAAATCTGATTGTCATAATAGTAAACATGCAAGTCTAATGCTGTTTTTACTTCATTTCAGTCACGCAATTTTTAAGGTTGCATCATCTGCTCTAGAAATTCCATGTAGCTTGATACACTCAGAGTCTCCTTTCTTGTTGTTAGCCACTGTAGGTAGTAATACCCAGCATACAAAATCAGTTGTTGATAGTCCCTAATGTTGATTTTATCATCTCCCCACAGAATCACAGAATGATTCTTAGAAATTTGTAGTTACAGTTCCTCTTGGCAGAAGAAAATGCTGTGGTAGTTTCTTGTTTCTTGTGGGAAAAATGTTCTTTTTTTTTTTTTTTTTTCCTCACAACCAAGTATTTGGGATATTTTGGGGGTTTTCATGTCTTCCGAGCTGTTTATGAAGAAGACAACAAAAATGTAGGAAAATAATCAGTTTTTAGTTAGAAAGTGGGTGAGAGCAAAAGCAAGCCCAGATAGTTATCTTACGTAATGAGAACTCTGCACAAATATTCATGGAAATGTAGAAGTATCTTTTGTCAAAAGAGTAAAACTCTGGCCCATAACTGCTATGTATGTATGGTACTTCTGTTGTCATCAAATATTATTTTAACTGTCTTCAGTGAAAAGTGACTTTATATGAACCGTGTCCTGGCCACTTTCTGAACTTGAAGATGGTCTTCAACTGCTGTATAGAGAGTGCATGGAGAACAGAAACACAGTTTAACCTTAGCAGCATGCACCTGTTTGGTTCTCAAACCATGGCAGAGAATGAAGGGATAATAGTGTACATAGAATAGGTAAGATGATAGAAGCTAAAGAAAATACGATGTTGACTTCGTTAAACTGACAAATGCTATGTTACTGAAGTCTGGAAGTGGCACTGCTGCCTTACCCTCACTTTCAGAATAGAGGGAGACTTAGGAATATAGTTCTAATTACTTTTATGAAATGGAATAACTGATAGTTCTTCATATCTCTCTTTCTCCAGGCACGCAAACAAATGGCCTGGACTTTCAAAAGCAGCCTGTGCCTGTCGGAGGAGCAATCTCTACAGCCCAGGCCCAGGCCTTCCTTGGGCACCTTCATCAGGTAAGAGAAGACCCATTTCAAAGTAGAGGCTGTCTGCTGTTGTATGTTCTCTCTTTCTGTGAATGAAGGGTAGTCATGTAAAGGAACATATGGATAGACCACATGCTTAAATAGCTTGGATGGGAAAAAAATTCTTGTTGTGGTACTCATTTCATTGCATTAGACTTCAGAATACATCCAGATAGGGTGAGACCTATTTGGGGGAGCTAGAAAGCCCCTTTTGGGGGATTTGAGAGCACCTAAAATTTTTTGTTTGTGGTGGGGTTTTTTTTGGATTTTTTGGTTTTTGTTTTGTTAAAACCTTAATGGAGATACCAAATTGAAAGGCAAGGTAAAATTTAATCTTCCTGGTAAAGGATTGTATTGGCCGAACAGCTGCCAAGATTCTGAAACTGTCACTACCTGGTTAAGAAACCAGAAGTGGTGTTGAATAGTAGTCAGCACTGTACTTCAATCTTTCAAGCTCTTACACATTAACTAGAAATATAAAGAGATCGTACTTACTAAGCATATATGGCTTGTGAGGTTTTTTTAATTTTTTTTTTTTTTTAAAAAGTTATTTCAAGGACATGTTTGTCAGATGATATTCAGGCTCCTGCTACTATCCCTCTGTTCTGCTGCTGCTGTGTTTAGGGAATCAAAGCTGAACTTCAGATGTAAGCTGAAGCAAAATGGGGCATCTCTAGATGAAGAGAAGTATAAGGGGCATTTTTTGTAGTTTTTTATCTATTCTCACTTGATGTATGAAAACAAATGTCCTAATTTCTTTCACTTCCTCAGCACCAAGTTTAAACTTTAAAATACTGTACCTAATTGGCTGACCTTGAATGTTTGAGGTCTGAGGTTGCACAGTTATTGTGGTATAATTGACGTACTGAAGCTTTTATGCCCTCTTTTAAGAGCTCTGAACTGCCATTTTATTGTATGGAACATTCCACACGTCTTGTCACATAATTACAATTTTCCTAGTAGATTGGGTTATATAGGACCTAGGGAGTGCCAGTGTTTGAATTTGCTGAACCAATAGGCTGTTGTAGGCTCCCTTTATGTGCAGAGAAGCTGAGTAGTTTTCATGGGTTGTCAGTATGTGTTTAGCAGGGAGACAGATACAGCTGTTCTGCAGAATTTTGTGTGCTTGTTTTAGTCTTCATTTTGTTATATGGATTGATCCAGGACAGTAATTGTATTTAGCACGGTGCTTTGTATTGCTTTGGAAATGTATTTATTTAAACAGTTGTCAGGATCTTTATAACTTCATGTTTGATAAAGTGTGATTCATTTCTTGAAACTCTAGTTCAAAGGAAAATCTCAGCTATTCTTTTACGCACCTGCAGGTGTGTGGGAATCTATTGTCAAACTGTCCTCTTCTAGTGTGGCTGCTGTTAGTGGGGTGTTATTCAGCCTTAACACACAGTGCTTTCCTCCAGACTAATACAAAATATTAGGTTGCAGGCAACATTCAGGAACAGTTTAATTTCTAATTAGAAAATGTTTGTTGGGTGGTGGAAGGGGTGTCCAAATTGCGTTCAAAGAGATTTTCAGGAATATGCTGGCTGTGCCTGAGTGAGATACATTTGTAGTCTTTTATGTGTGGATGGTTTTTTTTATTATTACATAATTTTTAAAGTATTATTTCTGAGTATATTTTTGGGATGGCAGGCTATTATTGTTTAGATTATTCTCTGCTGTTAATTCATGTTAAAAGCTCAGATTACATCAGCTGTGTCAAACTATATTTTGCTTGTGATGAGTTGGAGCTTTTCTGGGAGTGTTTGCTTAGATGTAGAACATGCTTAGTAAGTCTAGTACCTTCATCTAGAGCGATAGGAAGTATTTCTAAGGTGACTTAAAGGTTGCCTATTCGAACATTCAGTTATTAATTTCATGTACTGAAATTTAAACTGTCCTTCCTGTCCTTGCAGATATGTGAACTCTCTTTTGTCATGTATATTATGTGGGGACATCTTTTTATAGAGGCAAGAGTGCTACATTTTGCTTTGCTTTATTGTATCCTTATGTGTTGCCTGGTTTTTAAATGAGCAGTGGTTTTCAAACGTGGCTGGAGATGGAATTCACTACAGGCTCTAACTCTGACCTTTGAAAGTGTTGGTAATTAATTACATAGCATTCCTTCTTTATAGGAGGAATGGTGGTAGAAACAAGGTGAGACTGATTACAATGATCTTCAGTAAATGAAAATTTATTGTTTGTTGTACAGAGAAAATCCTTATTAGAGATAAAAATAACACTCTAAAAATCTCACGTTCTGAAGCATCAGTTTTTCTTCACTGCTAACCCACAAGAACTTCTTTGGACCTGTTAATCACAAACATTGAATTCAAGTTTTGAGTATACCTGAATCAATACAGCCTTTGTAAAGTGTCCCTAGTCCTCTGTATTGAGATCTTCTTTTCAGTGGCTGAGGACTGCAAATACTTGAATGGGTTGATTTTGAGGAAGAGTGTTTATGCTCTGGATTTTGTGCTATGTAGGCGATTGCTCCTCTGTCATAAAAGAAAGCGGGTGAATACGGTGTACGTATTTGGGGTAGGACCCATTCTGAAATATGAGAAGGATGATGATGGATAGAGCTCAATGTCCTCCCCTGAAGCCTGGACTTTTTAATAGGAATAGGAATAGTTACCCTATCCACCCCAAAATGCTCTGTTTCAACTCAGTTTCATGATAATATCTAGATTCCTAGGCAGGAATATGTTCAGCAAGAACAAATAACACTGTGGAAGAGTCTTGCAGATATTTTTTTTTTTTTTCCCCAGCCTGGAGCACAACCCCTGTTTCACTGATTCAGGTGTTACAGGGGCATGCATTTTTAAGGGGTTGGGGGTGGTTATTGGGGTGCAGGTGGGGAGGTTGTTCTTTTTACATTGTGAAAGTTTTCTGTGGATTATACATTATTTAATTTCCATTTTTGCACTGCGTTGTAGGTCCAGCTCGCTGGAACAAGTTTACAGGCTGCTGCTCAGTCCTTAAATGTACAGGTAAAGAAAGTTTCCTTCTGCTGCTTGTCCTTCTCTCATTCCAAACAGCGTTATGTCCCACTAGAGAGAGTTTTTAACCTATGATGTGTCACTCTGGTTTTTTCATTCTGATTGGTCTTGTGAGTGATAGGTATGAAGGAATAATAGTTTTACAACTCTAAATCAGGTTCAGGATTGTAAGCATTCAGAAATTGAAGTTTTTTAAAACATGCAGTGATCGTGACTTCACACTGAATTTCAGCCAGGTGTTGTATCATGAAAACTGTAAAACACCAGGGATATTTCATATTCTTCCATTTATTCACTCATTTTAAACATAGCAAGTACTACTTTGCAATTTGTCATTACTTCTGGTGGCTGAATATAGGAGTATAATGTAACATTAACCATGTAATGTGGCCAGTGTAGATTACTTGTGTAAATAACACATGATTATTTGAAAATACGAGTAATTGTTGTTTAATATGGTGTATGAGACAACAAAGCTTTTAAACTTTTTTATGATGCTGAACATTTCAGTGTATCAGTTAACGTGCCGCTTCCTTTCTGTACTATATTAAGGGGCAAGGGATGCAGTTTTATTGAAAACTGGTTTCAGTATTGCCTGTTATTAAAGAATGTAGGTAGTGCATTACATGAAATGCAATAGAATGTGGACCCACTTATACATAATAACAATTTGGAAAGAAGAGGAGGTATAGTGACCTTCCTTTCTAAGAGGAAGGAGGCAGAAAATTGCCTTGGTTGCCATGGTAAACTTCCATCCCTGAGAGAGATGTTGGCAAACAGGCTGTATCTCCAGTGCAGAATGTTTACAGTCCTGCGCTGTAATTATCGCTCAATGACTGGCAGAATTAATCAGAGCCTTTATGTTAATTAGCCTGCTCTGCAGTCCCCAAAACAGGTGGTGGAAAATATGCAAATCTATGCAGAATTTTAATGTTCTGCATAACCAGTTTTAATTATCATAAAACTCTAGCCCCCTCTTCATGCACTTGCATTTCCTCTCTCATGTCTTCACAGTTTCTTCTGTTTTTAAAAAAAAAATCAACTCCCCCATCTTTTAAAATAAAGCAGCATTCAATTATATAAATGCTAAACTTTGATTGTTTAAAAGCACTGTATACATTATGTATTTTGCTGTAGGTAGATAAACCTGTGTGGATTTCTCAAACCAGTTCCATATAAGCCAACAGTATGGTGACTTAGAGGTGCAGGATGCAGATATAGAAAATGGAAACAAAATCACCTTTCCTTCTTTTCATTGTTCAGGATTTTAGGCAGTGAATAATTTTAACCACCTTTTCTTTCTTTATGGTGAAAGGTAGTGTCAGCTTCAGTTGCGTTGCGTAAAATGAAATGAGACCTGAAAATAATGTCAGAGTTACAAAAGACCGGAGAGGCTTTTTGTTTTGTTTAAACTGCATTACCTACAGACATGTTTGAGCAATCGTAGCTGCAATGGTAGGCACATAGAGCCATTGCTTAAACACACTCTTAAAATAAACCCAAGGGCTTTTTGTATGCAGATGAAAGATTTTTATTGTGCAGTGTTGAGATAGCAGTGTTATACATTAACATCTGTTTTACACTATAAAGAGTTGTATTTTTTTTTTGACTAGTCTAAATCTAATGAAGAATCTGGGGACTCTCAGCAGCCAAGCCAGCCTTCCCAGCAGCCTTCAGTGCAGGCGGCCATACCCCAGACCCAGCTCATGCTGGCCGGAGGACAGATCACTGGGGTAAGATTTACCCAAGTATACTGCAGTAAGCCTCCTGTCCAGCAAATGATGGCAGTATCTATGACAGTCCCCATAGAACTGTCAGTGAAGGTTATTGTCATTTCCTTTAACATAGGCAGAAACATGAGTGAAAGAGGAGACAGAAAATATCTTCCTATAAAAAAAGCAGACTTTAATCTTTGTGTTTTGTTGCAAAGTATTTGCTTAAAAAAAAAATAAAATTCTTTCTCTCTGTTCCCAGTATCCATCTTGACTCTGCAGTGAAATTAAAACCTGCTATGTGTACAAATAAGAAGGTCACTGATGTCATAAAGAGGAAATCCCCCCCCCCGCCGCCTCCCCAGATTAAGATGAGGCATGAGAGCATGAGACTAAATCTTATCAGATAGCTGGGTGAAGAGCAAAAATGATGGGAACTGCTGACACTAATTCTTCCTCTTCTCAAACACATTTCTTTTTAAGTAACTATATTAGTGCTTCCCTTAAGCCTATTCAAAAGCTACCAATTTTGAGGGTTTTTAATTGCAAGGCTTTGGGAGTAATTATGGAATAACTGTTGTTTTAGGATTATTGGTGTTTCTGAATTGTTGTAAATGCTTTCAGTCATTTAGAAAAAGAGCAAGTTTTGTGAATGGGCTGGGTTCAGTTAAAGAGTTTGCTTCCATGTGATGAGCTTGGCAGTTGCTCCAACAGTGTATTTTTGAAGTATTAGGTTAGATCATATCCACACTTCAATGAAATGATGTCTTAATTTCATGTTCAATTGTTAAATCTTCTTGTATGCTAGTGGGTAAATAAACGTCCTATTTAGTTTTTGGTTTGGAAAGTTTTAAAAGTGAGACTGTTTTAATAAGTTATTAAAACCCAGTATATTTTGTTATTTTCTCATTCTCCAAAAATATTGGTTTGTTTTAATTTACGATTGTCTGCGGTAGTGAAACATTGAAAACTCCAGGCCTGTGCAGATATGGATTGTAGTAAATATGGGCATCAAGATTCATTTACATGTAAAGGAGAGACTGCTGCCACCTGTTTCACAGAGATAGTGCCTGTTTGGGAAAGGAAAGGGATGTAAACTTGCCAACTCTATTTTATTTGGAAAAAAAAAAGGCAGATGGGGAGACTTGGAGAGAAACAAATGGAGCTCATGTTCTTTACTTATATCTTAGGGCATAATGGAAATGATGGAATATGGCAGGGATTCATGCTAATGTGAAGCAGCTGGGGTGTTATCAGTTTGTTCAG